TTTCTTTTTTTTTTTTTAAAAGATGACCAGTAAGGGGATCTCAACCCTTGGCTTGGTGTTGTCAGCACCACGCTCAGCCAGTGAGCCAACCGGCCATCCCTATATAGGATCCGAACCCGTGGCCTTGGTGTTATCAGCACCGCACTCTCCCAAGTGAGCCACGGGCCGGCCCTTAGAATATATTTTTCGATGAAAATATATACACATTACAGTTGGGTATATTTCTTTGTTTTGTTTTGGTTTGTTTGTTTTTGGTGGCTGGCCAGTAGGGGGATCCGAACCCTTGACCTTGGTGTTGTAACACACACTCTAACCAACTGAGCTAACCAGCTAGCCCTTCAGTTCATTTCTAGAAGTGAAATTATTGGGTGTCCAGGGGTCTTCCACGGTGAAATTTCTAGGTGTCCAGTGGTATGAGAAGTATCTCTTCTAAGGTGAAGGATAAGTTGTTGCATGTAACCTCTCCTACAACCAAAAAAGAGGACAATGCCTAGTATGCCTTTTTTATTTTTCTTGTTTCTTTTTTTTTAATATGCCTTTTTGGATTTTGGAGTTAACATATTCCTCAATTGGGTGTGCTACTCCAGCCCATTTACTGAGTGACCTAAATAGCTGCTAGATTTCCTGGGAGGCCCAGAAAAAAAGAAGGCTCTGCAAAGGTCCAGACTACTGTGCAAGATGCTCCTACACTTGTGCCATATGATCCATCAGATTCAATGGTGCTCAAAGTGTCAGTGGCAGATAAAGATGTTGTTTGGAGCCTTTGGCAGAACCCTGTAAGTGAATCACAGTGCAGGCCCTTAGGATTTTGGAGTAAAGCCTTGCCATCCTCTGTGGATAACTACTCTCCTTTTGAGAAACAGCTTTTCTACTATTTCTGGCCTTAGTAGAGAATGAATGCTTAACCATGCACCACCAACTTACCACGTTATTTATGATGACATGGGAATTCTCTATGATCAGTTGACTGGGGGATAAAAAGCTCAGATGGTTCTACATGATATGCAGGCACCACCTGAAAGTGGATAGTTACAGATCTACAACTCCTTTCTAGGACCCTGAAGGAAATTGGTGAAAAGAAATCATCCCACTGGGCAAAACTTTGAGCAGTGTACCTTGCTGTTTGCTTTGTTTAAAAAAGAAATGGCCAGATTATATACTGACTCATGGGTAGTAGCCAATGGTTTGGCTGGATGGTCATGGACTGGGAAGGAACATGATTGGAAAATTGGTGACAAGGAAATTTGGGAATAAGCATTGGATAGAACTCTGAATGTGGAAAAAAAGTGAAGATATTTGTGTCCCATGTGAATGCTCACCAAAAGGTGACTTCAGCAGAGGAAGATTTTAATAATCAAGTAGATAGGAAAACTAATTCTGTGGATACCAGTTAGTTTTTTTCACTAGCCACTCCTGTCAGAACAGGGTTGAAAAAAAAGACTGACTGGTAACTTCTTTGTTTGCGGCTCATGAACAAAGTTGCCATGGTGGAAGGGATGAAGGCTATACATGGGCTCAGCAACATGGACTTCTACTCACCCAGGCCATTCTGGACATGGCCACTGCTGAGTGCCCAATCTGTCAGCAAAGACCAACACTGAATCCCCTTATATGGCACTTCCTTGGGATGATCAGTCAGCTACCGGGTGGCAGGTTGATTACATTGAACTGCTTCCATCATGGAAAGGGCAGCATTTTGTTCTTACTAGAATAGAGGCTCTGGATACAGATTTGCTTTCCTTGCACACAATGCTTCTGCCAAAACTACCATCCATAGACAAATGGAATACGTTACCCTCTGTTATGGCATTCCACACAAGATATCTTCTGATCAAGGAACTCACATCCCAGCAAAAGAGGTGCAGCAATGAGTCCATGCTCATGGAATTCACCAGTCTTACTATGTTCCCCACCATGCTGAAGCAGCTGGCCTGACAGAACAGTGAAATGGCCTTTTGAAGAATCAGTTACAACACCAGCTAGGTGGCAATAACTTTCAGGGCTGGGGCAAGGTTCTCCAAAAGGCTGTATATGTTCTGAATCAGCATCCAACATATGGTATCTCCCATAGCCAGGAGTCAAAGGGTAGGAATGGAAATGACCCCATTCATTTTTACCCCTGATGTCTCACTAGCAAAATTCTTGCTTTCTATTCCTGCAGGTTTATGTTCTGCTGACCTATAGGTCTTAGTTCCAAAGGGAGACACAATTCTCCCACCATGAGACACAACAATGATTCCATTGAATTGGAAGTTAAGAATGCTACCCAGCCCACTTTGAGCTATTTATGCATCAAAGTCAACAGGCCAAGAAGAGTTATGATGTTGGCTGAGGTGATTGATCCAGACTACCAAGGGAAAAATGGATTACTATTCCACAATGGCAGTAAGGAAGAGTATGCCTGGAATACAGGAGATCCCTTAGAGTGTCTCTTGATACTACTATGCTTTGTAATGGAAAACTACAACAACACAATCCAAGCAGGACTACTAATGGCCCAGACCCATCAGGAATGAAGTTTTGGTTCACCCACCAGATAAAAAAACCACAACCATGTGAAGTGCTTGCTGAAGGCAGAGGGAATATGGAATGAGTAGTGGAAAAGGTAGTTATAAACACCAGCCATGATCACATGACTAGTTAAGCAAATATCTTTGGTTTTTTTTTCTTTTTTAACTTATTTTATTTATTGAATCAAAATCGATTATACATTTTTGGGGTTGAATATTGAGATATGTTGATTAAATCAGTATTACTAGCATATCTGTTGTTACAAATCGTAATTATTCTTTATGCCCCTTGTCCAACCTCTCCCCTTCCCCCATTCCCTCCCCCTCCCCCCTCTAATTGCCCCAGATTTCTTCTCTCCTTCTGAAAGAAAAATGATTACTCTGTTAACTTGTTGCCTAGATGATCTGTCCAATGCTGAGAGATGTGATCAGGTCCCCCAATATTATCATAGAGCAGATGCTGCTTCTGTCACTCTGAAATAGGTTTTGTGGAAAGAGATATCCTCTTCTTTTCTTTGTCTCTGCTGGTGACTCTTCTTGTGTGAATGCAGTCCAGTGATTGGCGGACCATATGCATGGTGGCTGTGGCGTCTAGCCACTTTTGCAGAAGCCACAGTTACTGTGGTGGCTGTGGTGGGCCACCCACATGAGGATGCTGTTTTTGGCATGCTCCTTGGCACTGGCGGTATGCCTGGTTGTGGGGTGTGTTTGGTCCCCTTCTCTGTGCTTCTGGTCCCTGGGCAGGCCCCAAGGTGCTGGCGCCATGTGCCTGGTTGTGGGAGAGGGGCCCAGTCCCCTTCTCCACATCCTGGGTCCCTGGGCGGGCCCCGAAGTGCTGGCTTCGTGTGCCTGGTTGTGGGAGAGATGTCCAGTCCCCTTCTCCTTGCCTCAGGTACACAGTCAGGCCCCAAGGTGCTAGTGTGGTGTGCCTGGTTGTAGGAGGGTGATCCAGTCCCCTTCTCCATGCCCTGGGGCTGTGGGCAGGCCCCGAGGCACTGGCTTGGTGTGCCTGGTTGTGGGAGAGAGGTCCAGTCCCTTTCTCCATTCCTCAGGTCCCCGGGCAGGCCCTGAGGCACTGGTGCAGTGTGCCTGGTTGTGGGAGAGAGGACCATTCCCCTTCTCCTTGTCCCAGGTCCCTGGGTGGGCTCCGAGGTGCTAGCATGTTGTGTCTGGTTGTGGGAGAGACGTCCAGTCCCCTTCTCCATGCCCTGGGTCCCTGGGTGGGCTCCGAGGTGCTGGCATGTTGTGCCTGGTTGTGGGAGTGTGGTCTGGTCCCCAATTCCATACCCCAGGTCCCTGGGAGAGCCCCAAGGCGCTGGCTCAGTGTGCCTGGTTGTGGGAGAGGTCCAGTCCCCTTCTCCTTGCCTTGGGTCCCTGGGCAGGGCCCACGGTGCTAGTGTGGTGTGCCTGGTTGTGGGAGGGGGGTCCAGTCCCCTTTTCCATGCTTCAGGTCCCCAGGCTGTCCCTGAGGCACTGGTGCAGTTTGCCTGGAAGTGGGAGTGGGGTCCGTTCCCCAGATCCAAGCCTCCAGTTCCCAGGCAGGCCCCAAGGTGCTGGTGGTGTGCCTGGAACGGAACTAATTATTTGTCCTTTGCTTCTAACACGGGGGATCTTCCTGTGGGAACCAGTACTTGAGCTGTGTGGCTGTTTAAATTGCTACTTTGCTGCTGTTTCCCTAGGGAAGGCTTTTTGTGTAGCTCAGGGTTTAATGGTTGACCTTATAGGTACTTCCGGCTCTCCAGATACCCGGTGCCCCTGGGTTGTGTAGAAACTCTGATCTGGGCCTGAGATTTTTCATCAAACTGCACCCCATGCAATTCTGCATTCCTGACCAGTCTCCTCTGAGTGGTCCTGTGCTGACTGGGAGGCAGATCAGCTGTCCTTGTTGTGTCCCAGCATTCCCCTGGTGGGCATGTCTCCCCCGCCGCCTGTGCTGCAAACACTTCCCACAGGATGGGCCCTATGCCAGTCCCTTGCAATGAATCACCAGCCTCTGAGTGGCTCCCTTTTTTCAGTTGTTCTGGCTCCTCGCTCCTGCGTGGGTCCACAGGAACCCTATTAGTGGTCTTGCTGTCCTGGGGGCCACAAAGGCCCTCTTTTCTCCTGCTGCCTCCAAGTAACTCCATCTGAAGGGTACAGCAGAGGCTTCTACCGGCTCCTGTTCCATGTGCTTATCAGCTTGAGCCTTAAAGCAGCTGCAGCCCCAAATGCTCAAAGCAGCTTTTTCTTTCTCTCATCGTAGTTTCTCCCGCCTTCATGAACTCCGTAGGTCTCTCCTCCTCTTCCCCTGAGCTCCAGCGGCCCCGGGTTGGCTGATGTTACATTTTTATAGTTGTAAATTTCATTGATTTGTGGGAGAGAGTGACGCTGTGGACCGTCTATTCCGCCATCTTGATTCAAATATCTTTGTTTTCTTCTTTCTTATCTCCTTATATAACAGATGTATTAATAATAGTTAACTTTATATCACAGTTTTTAAGTTACAGGATATCAAGGAGAAGAGTGAATATCACCCAAGGTCTTCATATCCTCTTCTGGGGAAAAAGGCTAACACATTTTCAGCTTTATGCAGAATGGTTGTATCATGTTACACAAAAGTATGACTCTGTTATTGTTTTTATTTGGAGATTAAGTATGTTTAAGGAGATGCATATGAATGTATAATTGATAAGGGCTGAACTGTGATGGTTACTTGTGTCAACTTGGCTATGCTATATTACACAATTATTCAATCAAATACTAATCTAAGTGTTGCTTTGATGGTATTTTGCAGATATGGTTAACATCTATAATAGCTGACTTTAAGTAGTGAAGATTATCCTTGATGTGGGCAGGCCTAATCCAATCAGCTGAATGGCCTTAAAAGCAAAACTGAGGTTTCTATGAAGAACAAGAAATCTATGTGTGAACTGTGTCATCAGCTTCTGCCCAAGAGTTTCCAGCCTCCATACAGTTTTCAGACTTGCTCAGCTAGACTTCACAATCACATTAAGTCAAATCCTCTAAATAAATCACTTTATATATACACGTATATATGAGTACACATATATGAATCTGCGTATGTGCATAAATATACATACATATGTGTATAAACATATGTGTACATGTGTGTAAGTATAGGGGTCTTCAAAAAGTTCATGGAGAGATTTGTATTATCTTTTCATTCTATTTTTCCACAAAGTTTTTGAAGTACCCTTGTGTGTGTGTATATCTATGTACATATACATATACATATATACATATATATGCATGTGTGTGTGTAATACATTCTATTGGCTTTGTTTCTTTGGCAGGACTCTGACTGATATAGGCATCTACTATTTCCTACCACCACGCTAATGTTATCAGAGATAGGGATAGAAATAGTCTATTATGTGGTCTTTGTCCTTGAAAAACTTCATAACTTAAGAAATACGAAAAGTCAGCATTGCAAATTATGTCAGGTAGTGGTATATTATTGTGATGGGTTACTTTTAGGTATCAACTTGACTAGGTTAAGGGATACCCAGATAGCTGGAAAAGCATTATTTCTGGGTATGTCTGTGAGGGTGTTCTGCAAGACATCAGCATTTGAATCAATAGACCAATTAAGGAAGATCTGCCTTCACCCAATGTGGACGGGCACCATGTCATCAGTTGAAGGTCTGGATAGAACAAAAAGGCAGAGGAAAGCCAAATTTACTCTCTGTGTTCTGGGAAGAATATCTCCTGCCCTTGAACATCAGAACTCTGGGTTCTCTGACCTATAGACTCTGGGTCTTGTGCCAGTGGTCCCGCAGGCTTTCAGGTCCTCAGCCTTGGACTGAGAGTTACACTGTCAGCTCCCCTGGTTCTCAGGCCTTCAGATTCAGTCTTAGCTATGCCACTGGCATCCCTGGTTCTCCAACTTGCAGATGGCATGTCACAGGACTTTTCAGGCTCCAAAATCACATGAGCCAATTCCCATAATAAATCATCTCTCATATATCTAGATATCAATATTCTTATATAAATATCTAGATATATGAGAGCTATATCTATATCTATCTATCTGTCTATACTCCATTGGTTCTATTTTACTGGAGAACTCTGACTAATAAAATTATTAAGTGTCAAATGAGCAGCATTAAGTATTCAAGGAACTTATTTAAAAAAAAAGAGAGAGAGATCTCTGTGGACTTAGAAAATGCTCAGGGCAGGCAGTGTGAAGGAAATGAGAACAAGGACCAAAAGAGGACAGCTTGATTGGACTGAAGTTATACATAATCCATTAAATTTCAATTACTTCTCTGGCAACTTACTCACAAAAGGTTCCAAAACTCCACTGAGTAATTAGACATTCTGTCTGAAATACAGTGAGGGGAGTACAAAAAAGAACTAATTTAGTCCAGAAGTCTTGAAAGATTGAATTCCTCTCCACCAGTTGGTAGCAGTATGATCTTAGACAAATTGCACTCTACTTTAAGCCTGAGTCTTAATATGTAAAATGGGGATAACAATATGCATCCTGTCTATCGTAAAGTCAAAGGGAGAAATTAATGATATAATAAGGTTCTTAGCACAGCGCCTTTCATAGAGGAAGTACTCAACCAATGTTATGTGAATGCAACAATGCCTTCCTATCTAAGAATGAAACATAAACAACACTAAATTTTGAGTACTTATAAAAGGAAATATCCTAGATAAATAAATTTTAAATCAATGTCATAAACTCATTTTTCAAAAGATGAGGTATTTGTCTTTTTTTTTTTTTTTTTTTTTTAAAAAGATGACTGGTAAGGGGATCTTAACCCTTAGCTTGGTGTTGCCAGCACCACGCTCAGCCAGTGAGCGAACCGGCCATCCCTATATGGGATCCGAACCCGAGGCCTTGGTGTTATCAGCACCGCACTCTCCCAAGTGAGCCACGGGCCGGCCCGAAGTATTTGTCTTTAAAAAAGTTATTTTACTCTCTTTCTGAAACCTGTTCAGATTTTTATAATTTTACTATTTCTACTTTGTGTAAAAACTCTCAGAATACGATTTATAATGTAATTTCTTGTGTTTTTACAAAGAAAAAATGTTTTATGTCATCCAAAAAAAGTATGTTCTGCATTCATACTACAGTACCTTGAGGAATATCTTTAGGAGGAGAATATTTCTTCTTCTTTACAATAACACCTTTACTTTTCACTTGTCTAGTTCCTGGTGATGCTCTAATAATACAACACATTTCTGATGTATTTGTAGGAAACTGGAAAAGAAAAAAAGCAGATATTGCATAATTTCTTTAAATGCTAGATTTATATGTTGTCATGTTTCAAATGCAAATAGTCTCAATATCCATATTTCATAGGTATTAATAACAGCAAGCACTAATTAAATGCTTATTCCACTCCAGACACTAATTGGTTTTAAAACATTTGCTGACAAGAACCAAGCAAGACTAGATCATATTATCCCCATTTTACAAATGAAGAAACTTAGTTTCAGAGCTACTGGATAACTCAAAGACAGAGAGCAAATAACAGTAGAGTTATGATTCAAGTTCTCCAAAGTGGGAGAGAAAGTTTGCATAATTTATTGAGTTAAAACACAAATTTAAATTTAATTTTGAATTAAATGGTAGATTCCTTGATTTCTCAACTCAGATGATTTTGATAATTTCCAATCAAGCAAACAGTCTCTAGAATAAAGAAATGCCATGTCTTTCAGAAGTAACGTATTTTGGTTCTCAGAACTCAGAAGTAGAGATATGTATTTATCCAGGGATCTCCCATTTTAAATAAAGTCTGTATGGAAACCTCTTCTACTGTAAAATTCATATTATCCTCTGTGGTAGACATCTGCTATTTTCCCGCCTAGCATTCGTTCTCCATTCTTCTCGTATGGAACAGTAACAGTTTTCTTGGGAGAATCTACCCACTCTACCGGTCTGTGCACTACACCTTCCTATAGGTCAGGTGAAGTGGATAACTTCTGAGCACCACAATGGCCAAGACCCTCAGCCAAGCCAATCAACATATTCCTTACTGCTGAACATAGTGACTGGCTCAGACAAGGGCACTGTTAATGGGCCATTAAAAGGAGGGAATGCTAAACCCGAGATTCTGGCACTAAGCAAGAATCTTTAAAGGTGGCTACAGTGTTCCCAGATTGATACCCAGCCCTACCTATAGCTGTTGTAGTAGAAACATATACAAGTCCTCTTAGGAAAATGGATCCCCACTTTAGGCCCATAGGATTCCTATCAAGTAAGATCAAGAAAATAAATGGTCAGGGTCAGTCTTACGGTCAGTGTCAGAGCTGTTGTTCAAGATTCAGCTCAGAATAGTCTAGGCAGGGGCCAGCCTGGTGGCGCACTGCTACAGTGCGCCGCTTGGGAAGCGCGGCAGCGCTCCCGCCAAGGGTTCGGATCCCACATACAGACCGGCCGCTCACTGGCTGAGCGAGGAGCGGGGGCAACACTGAGGGTTGAGATCCCGTTGCCGGTCCCGGTCCAGTACGGGTGCGACACTGAGGGTTGCGATCCGTTGCCGGTCACGAAAAAAGACAAAAAGACAAAAAAAAAAAAGAATAGTCTAGGCAGGGGCCAGCCTGGTGGCGCACTGCTACAGTGCGCCGCTTGGGAAGCGCGGCAGCGCTCCCGCCAAGGGTTCGGATCCCACATACAGACCGGCCGCTCACTGGCTGAGCGAGGAGCGGGGGCAACACTGAGGGTTGAGATCCCGTTGCCGGTCCCGGTCCAGTACGGGTGCGACACTGAGGGTTGCGATCCGTTGCCGGTCACGAAAAAAGACAAAAAGACAAAAAAAAAAAAGAATAGTCTAGGCAGAAATAAAGGACAAAATACATTTCATCTCCTCCTAAAATTTCAGTATAATGATACTAAAGGAAGTACTGATTCATGAGAAATCAAGCTACTAAGTGTAAGACTATATAATAAATGATGAATATCAAACAATGGATCCAAACCCCTACAACATCAGATATCGAAACTGGCAAATCAGAATGGAATAGCAGTATATAAAATAAAGGTTTAGCAACTGAAATCTCAAGGATGAATGAGCAACAAGAAACTATCAGGAATGAAAAGCAGATTTGATAAAGAAACAACCAGAACTTTTTTTTTTTTTTTAATGTTTAAGATGTATATTTTAGATGTATTTGTGTGCACATATAGGTGTGTACAAGTCACATTCGCATATATTTTCTTTTTTTTTAAGATGACCAGTAAGGGGATCTCAACCTTTGACTTGGTGTTGTCAGCACCACGCTCATGCAGTGAGCTAACCGGCCATCCCTATATGGGATCCGAACCCATGGCCTTGGTGTTATCAGCACCATACTCTCCCGAGTGAGCCACAGGCCAGCCCAACAACCAAAACTTCTTGAAATGAAAAATATAATTGTTGAATTAAAAAATTCAATGGGAGGCTTAAGCAGCAGAGTAGACAAAGATGACAGAATTACTGAAGAAATTACCCCAAATATAACAAATAAATAAAAAAATATTAAGGAGAGGTTGAGAGATACGGAGGATAGAATGAGGCCTAACATATGCTAATTACCATTCCAGAGAGAATAAAACAGATAACATCTGAGAAATTTTCCAAATTGATGAAAAACGTGAATCCGCAGACTCAGGAAATCTAATATTCTAAGCAAAATTAGAATTAAAAAGAACAGCAAACAAAAATAATAATCCATTAATGTACGTATTCCAGTGAAATTATAGCATACCCAAAGTAAGGAGACCTTCAAAGAAGCCAGAAAGAAAACATATATTGTGTCAGTCTCCAAGACCACCCTCAGGCTCATTGATTTGCTAGAAGGATTATAGGATTCAGAAAAGATGAATCCTATCTGATAACAGAATCCTTGTCTATTCTATCTGGTAACTGATCCTATGAGACAGCTGAATCCTTATAAGACAACTATATTTATAACAGACAAAACAGAATTTGAGATCCAAAAAAAAACATTATTAGGAATAAAGAGGCTTGCTAAAGAATGAAAAAACAGGTTCAATTCATCAGCATATATAACAACTTAAAATGTATATGGAGCCAATAAAATAGCTTCAAAATATACAAAGCAAAATTTTATAGACCCACAGGAAGAAACTAACAAATATGCCATCATAATAAAGGCTAATTTCAACACATTCTTCTCTATTATTAATTACTTAAGCAGTTAAAATATTAGGAAAGATACAGATACTTATGGTTACACTGACAATTACAGTTTATTACAGCAAAAAGATACAGATTAAAATCGACAAAGGGAAAAGGCACATAGGGCCAAGTCTAGGAGAACAAGCTTCCAGTTGTCCTTAGGGCAGTCACATGGACAGCACTTAATCTTCCCATGTTTAAAGTGTTGCCAACCAAGGAAGGTCAGTGAGCCTTAACAACAGGATTTTTACATGGGGCCAGTCACCCAAATAAAAAGCACTGCATGCTTGGGTAACTGACCTCAGATACTCAGACCTCATCCCAAAGAGGTTAAATTGATACCCAAAGTCTCAGGCATCAAAAACAGGTATTTGCCATAACCCACACTGCTAGAATAAACTACATGGCATGGCCCAAGACCTCAGACATACAAAGACACTTATCAGGCAGAATACTCCGAGGGCTCAGAGGTCATCTTCAAGGAGCCCAACCAAAGAACAGTCCTGAGGACCCTGGAAATGTGCAAGCCTGTTGAGTTAATGCTTTTCTGCATATATGTAATATACAAGGAAATGACAATTAGACTAACAGGAGAGTTGCAACTGCAACATGTAAGTCAGGAGACAGTAGAATGATACCATCAAGGGGCACAGAGAAAATTACTGCCAACTTAGAAATGTGTACCCAGAAAAACTATCTTTCAGGAATGAGGGCAATTTAGAGGCATTTTTAAAAACCTGGGGCAATCTACCACCAAAGACCTTCACTAAAGAAACTAATCTAAATGATGAACAACAGAAAGAAGAAAAATGATCTTAAAAGGATGGTCTAAAAGGCAAAAAGTAAGCAAATTTAAATATATGTAACAAAAACAAACTACGTAAATTAATAATGATGCTGATGATTATAATTTTGGGTTAAAAAAAAAAAGACAGACTCCAAATACTGTAAAACAAAAATATATAGGTTGGGATGGAATGATTAGACTTAAAAGTATTCTACGGTACTTATATTTTTCAGCAACAGAGTTGAGTTACTGTTTAATCTTTAGACTTTACGAAGGGCTAGCTGGTTAGCACAGTTGGTTAGAGGGTGGTGTTGTAACACCAAGGTCCAGGGTTTAAGCTACCAAAAAAAAAAAATTCACATTAGAGTGTCATAACTCTAGGATGTTAAATGTAATCCCCCTGGTAACCACAAAGAAAGTAACTATATACATATAATATAGACAAAACAAAATAAGAAAGAAATTCAAACATTTCACTACAAAAAATCAACTGAACACAAAAGAAGATGATAATGCAAGAAATGAAGAACAAAAAATTTGTAAGCCATATAGGAAATAAAGAGCAAAATGTCAGAAAGAAAACAGCTATAGAATATAGACAAAACAAAATAAGAAAGAAATTTAAACACTTCACTATAAAAAAATCAACTAAACACAACAGAAGACAGTAACACAGGAAATAAGGGACAAAAAAGTTATAAGGCATATAGGAAACAAAGAGCAAAACAACAGAAGGGTCTCCTTCCTACTGATCTGTAATCAGTAATTACAGATGCTCCTTCACCTACAATGGAGTTATATCCCAACAAACTCATCATAAGTCAAAAATATTGTAAGTAAAAAATGCACTTAATACCCCAATAAACCCATCATGAAGCTGAAGAATTATGTCGAACCATCATAAGTCAAGATGTTCCTCGACTTACAATAGGGTCACATCCCTGCTATGGGTTGGATATTTGTCTCCTCCAAAGCTCATGTTGGGAGCTTGATTCCCAATGTTGAAAGGTAGGGCCCTACGAGGTGACTGAATCATGAAAACTATGCTCTCATGAATGGACTTATCCATTCATGAGTAACGGGTTAATGGTTTAATAGGTTATCATGGGTGTAGACTGGTGGCTTTATAAGGACAACACATGAAAACACTCTTGCCATTCTCACCACATGATACCTTCATTACCATGCAACTCTGTAGAGTTCCCACCAAGAAGAATACCCTCACCAGATATGCCCCCTGGACTTTGGGCTTCTCATCCTCCAAAACTCTAAGAAATAAATTTAGTTTTCTTATCAATTACCCAGTTTCAGGTATTCTGTTGTAAGCAACAGAAAATGGGCTAATATAGTTTCGATAAGCCCATTGTAAGGTCAAACCACTCTTCCCACCAACAACAGCATACATATTCTTCTCAAGTCAGGGACTGTCTGTACTTTAAATGTACTTTAAAGGGCGGAACTTTCCAGTCAAAACACAGAAATTAGTGGACTGGATAAAAACACATGCTATATATTATCTATAAGAGACTCACTTTAGATCCTAAGACATAAACAGACTGGAAATGAAAAGATTAAAAAAGATATTCCATGCAAATAGTAACCAAAAGAGAATAAGCAGGGTGGCTATATTAATATCAGACAAAATAGACTTTAAATTTTTTTTAAAAAGCATGGTAAGAGATGAAGAAGGACATTATATACAAATAAAAGTTTCAATACAGTAAGAAGATATAAACAATTACACAATTAATGACAGACCTTCAAAATATACGAAGCAAAAACTGAGAGAATTGAAGAGAGAAATAAACAGTTCGACAATAATAGTTGGAGACTTCAATACGTCCCTCTCAGTAATGCATAGAACAACTAGACAGAAGATAAGTAAAAAAATAGAGATCTTAACACAATAAATCAACTAGATCTAACTACTAGATAAAGAACACTCTTCCCACCAACAACAGCATGCATATTCTTCTCAAGTGTACCTGGGATATTTTACAGTATAGGCCATGTATTAATCCACAAATTAAATCTCAAGAGATTTAAAAGACATATATCTTATTTCTTCTCGGACCAAAATGGGATGAAGTTAGAAATCAAAAATAGAAGGAAAACTGGAAAATTCACAAAATTGTGGAAATTAAACAACACATTCAAATACCAAATGGATCAGAGACAAAATCAAAAGGAAAATTATGAAATATATAGAGACCAATGAAAATAAAAACACAATATACCAAAACTCATGGTACACAGCAAAAGCAGTGATAAGAGGGAAATGTACAGTTACAAATGCTTATATTAAAAAAACAAGATAGATCTCGAATCTAACTTTACAATTTAAGGAATAAAAAAAGACCAAACTAACCCAAAGCTAGCAGATGGGTGGAAATAATGAAAATTAGAACAGAGATAAACAAAATAGAGTACAGAAAAGCAACTGAGGAAAGTCAATGAAACCAAAAGTTAGTTCTTTGAAAAGATCAACAAAATTGATAAACCTTTAGCTAGATGTACCAGGAAAAAAAACAGAGCAGACTCAAATTACTAAAACAAGAAATGAAAGTAGTAATATTACTACTGATTCTACAAAAAAAAAAAAAGATTATAAGAGAATACCATGAATGATTGTTATGCTAACAAATTGGATTACCTAAAGAAATGAACAAATTCCTAGAAACACAAAACTTACTAAGACTAAGTCACAAAGAAATAGAAAATCTGAATAGACCTATAACTAGTAAGAAGATTAAATCAGTAATCAAAAATCTCCCAACAAAAAAAAGTCCTAGTCCTGATGTCTTCATTGGTAAATTCTACCAAACATTTAAAGAAGAACTAATATCAATATTTCTTAAACTTTTCCAAAAAATTAAAGAGGAGGGAATATTTCATAACTCATTCTATGAGACCAGCATCACCCAAAGTCAAACAAAGCCAAAGACACAACAACAACAACAACAAAACTACAGGCTAATATTCCTTTTAAACATTGATGCAAAAAATCCTCAATGAAATACTAGCAAACTGAATTCTTCAGCATATTAAAAAGATTATAGACCATGACCAAGTGGGATTTATTCCTGGAACACATGGATGGTTCATCAAAAATCAAGCAATGTAATGTACCACATATAATAGAATGAAGGGAGGAAAGCATGATCATCTCAATTCATGCAGAAAAAGCACTTGACAAATTTCAACACCCTTTCATGCTAAAAATACTCAACAAAGAACTGGAAGAAAACTACCTAAACATAATAAAAGCCACATACGAAAACCCTACAGTGAACATCATACTCAATGGTGAAAGACTGAAAGCTTTTTCTCTAAGATCAGGAACAAAGCAAGGATATCTACTTTTTTTTTTTTCCTTTTTGTCTTTTTTTACTGACCGGTAACGGGATCGCAACCCAAAGCTTTTTCTCTAAGATCAGGAACAAAGCAAGGATATCTACTTTTTTTTTTTTCCTTTTTGTCTTTTTTTACTGACCGGTAACGGGATCGCAACCCAAAGCTTTTTCTCTAAGATCAGGAACAAAGCAAGGATATCTACTTTTTTTTTTTTCCTTTTTGTCTTTTTTTACTGACCGGTAACGGGATCGCAACCCAAAGCTTTTTCTCTAAGATCAGGAACAAAGCAAGGATATCTACTTTTTTTTTTTTCCTTTTTGTCTTTTTTTACTGACCGGTAACGGGATCGCAACCCAAAGCTTTTTCTCTAAGATCAGGAACAAAGCAAGGATATCTACTTTTTTTTTTTTCCTTTTTGTCTTTTTTTACTGACCGGTAACGGGATCGCAACCCCTCGGTGTTGCGCCCGCACCGCGCTCAGCCAGTGAGCGGGAACCGGTCTCCACATGGGATCCGAACCCTCGGCGGGAGCGCCGCCACACTCCCAAGCGGTGCACTCTCCAGTGCGCCACCGGGCCGGCCCAAGGATATCTACTTTTTCAACATAGTACTGGAAGTTCTAGCCAGAACAATTGGGCAAAAAGAAGAAATAAAAGGCATCCAAATTGGAAAGGAAGAAGTAAAATTACCTGTTTATAGATTATATAATTTTACATGTGCAAAACCCTAAACATTCCATTTAAAAACTGTTAGAACCTAATAAATAAATTCATCAATGTAGCAGTCTACAAAGTCACACAAAAATCAATTTCATTTCTACACACTAACAACGAACAATCTGAAGGGAAATTATGAAAACAATTCCATTTGTAACAGTATCAAAAGTGATACTTAGGAATCAACCAAAGAAGTAAGACTTACACAATGAAAACTACAAAACACTGCTGAAAGAAATTAAAGAATACAAAAATAAATGAAAACACAGGCCATGTTCATGGACTGGAAGACCTACTAATGTTAAGATGTCATTACTACCCAAAGTGATCTACACATTCATTGTAATCCCTATCAAAATCCCAATGGTGGTTTTGGCAGAAAAATAAAAACCCATCCGAAAAAACATATACAAGGCTACAGTCACCAAATAGTATGGTATTGGCATAAAGCAGACATATAGATCTAAATGTTAAGACTTAAAAAAATAAAACTCTTTGAATAAAACATAGGGCAAAGGCTTCATGACATTTGATTTGGCAATGATTTCTTGAACATGACACAAAAATCATAGGCAACAACAAAAAAATAGACAAATCGGACTTCATGAACATTAAAATATTTTGTGTATCAAAATTAAGAGTAAAAAGGCAACCCACAGAATGGGAGAAAATATTTTCAAAACATATCTGATAAGAGATTCTGCTTCACACACATGTAGATGAGGTTTGCCTCAACTGAGTTACAGATTTCTTAAAGTATTTTACATACAAAGTATTTAATACAACAAAATTAGTAATTGAAGAAAAAATCGAAAATACTACCTCATTTGAAGAATTTTCTTGCAAACTTGACACAGCAATAATTTCATTTGAATTAACATAATTGCTGACATATGGAAATAATTCTTCAAAAGATGCTTTTTGCACTGAGGACAAATCAATCTATAAAGGAATATATTACTCTTGTAGAAGTTAAATGTAAAAACGATTACTTCTAAGAAATTAAAGGAAAGTTGTAAATACTATCTCACTGGAAGCATTTTCTTGTGAACTTGACATATAAACAATTTCATCTGAATAAATATAATTACTGACACGCAAATAATTTTTCAAAAGATGCATGTTTAACTGGGGACACATTAATCTATAAAGAAAGTTGTATACTCTTTTGCTTTTTTTTTTTTTAAAGATGACCGGTAAGGGGATCTCAACCCTTGACTTGGTGTTGTCAGCACCACACTCTCCGAAGTGAGCTAACCAGCCATCCCTATGTGGGATCCGAACCCGGGGCCTTGGTGTTATCAGCACCGCACTCTACCGAGTGAGCCACGGGCCGGCCCATGACTAAACTTTTTCTACTTTCCTTACAAGCTTTTGCAGATTTATTTATTTATTTATATTTATATTTATTTATATTTTTAAAGATGACCAGTAAGGGGATCTTAACCCTTGACTTGGTGTTGTCAGCACCACACTCTCCGAAGTGAGCTAACCAGCCATCCCTACATAGAGATCCGAACCTGTGGCCTTGGTGTTATCAGCACCACACTCTCCCAAGTAAGCCATGGGCCGGCCCTTACCCCTTTGCTTTAAAGTAATTTTTTAAATGGGAATTTTTGTTTGTATATAATTTTTTCTATTCATTCACCTCATAAATATTTATCAAGTGCCTAAAAAATGAAATTTATCAACCCCAGCAACAATTCCTCCTGTGATAATTTCCCTTGCTCTTCCTACAGATGTTACCATTCTCTAATGTTCTGCCCTATATTCTTCTTGTTTACCACTGAACACCACAGATTTTTAAATCTCTAATATAGAACTCTCTCCTGAGCACCATGTCCATATCTCTGTCAGGTTACTGAAATCACCACACATTTTTGCATCAAATTCAAAATATCTAAAACTGTACTCATGATACATACTCTTACATGGGGACTCCGAGGAGCTAGGGCAAGTTGACCATCTGACTAGGGTAATCTGGCCTGAACCTAGGCTAGACAATGGGTGCCTAAAACGGATTGTTAGATGCACAGTGTGGGGTTTCAGGGTGGGGGATCTGCTCTTGCCTACCTCCTCTTCTTATGACAACAGAATAATTTCATGCCTATCCATGTATATCTTAGAAGAGTCTTAAGAAGGTCATGTTAAAGTGAGACACTGGAGAATGAAAGTCTCCCAGAGGTCCTTGATCAACTAGCTTTCTTTAGTATGCCCAGCCAAGGTATAACAGCTTATAACTGAGGGGGATCTACATGCCTCATTTGGAAGCAACAAGCTGTGAAATAAGGCAAACTGTAATTAGTCTGAGATTAATTTAGCAACAAAATTTGGACCTTTAAATGTCAAACCATTAAGTGTTCTCAAAAGTATTTTTGTTTATTAAAAGACACTAGTATTTAACTCACAAAATAGGAAAAAATATTTGCAAATCATCTCTCTGCTAAGCGTCTTGTATTGAGAACATATGAGTACAAAGAACTTTCACAACAATTTAAAAAGACAAATAATTTTGGGCAAAGGATCTCAATACAAACACAAATGGCCAGTGCTCAGAGTGGCTCAAGTGAGCCTGTGTCAGAATGAAGAGGCATGGGGTGCACAACCTTGCCCGCCTGGCCCAGCCTGGTCCCTGCCCCTTGGCCTGCCACTCCACCCCTGCAAGGCATCCCGGGCCACTCATACCATCAGCGGCCGCTGCACGTGGCCCAGGGATGCCCAGAAAGGAAGCAGCAACAGCCCTTGGAGACAGGGTAAGTTTTTCTTGATTTCTAGTGACAAAGACTTTGAAAAAATTAGCACTTCTGGCTTATGCTGCCATCATCCTACCACTGACCCAAAGACAATCCAGGCTGGATATTAGTGCCTCCCTCTTTACTCTTTTGTGATCATCTAGATCAGCACTTGACTGTTTATTTTCAAATCTCATGAACTCAGCCACGAGATCTTCATATTCTGGTTCTCAGCTACTCTTGAAGGACAGTGACTTTTTACCACAACAGCAGAGCCCATCACACCCAGCAGATCTCCGGTTGCCTCTAACATCATCCCCTGCCTTGTCTCCCTGTGTGGCCTCCTAAATGCCCTTCTTGTTGGCCTGGGTTCAGCTGGTGGTAGAGAGGGGTGCTGCCTAGTGCTGACATCAAAGGCCAATGGACATCAAAGGCCAATTCTGGAATGATGATGATTCAAAGGGAGATAATGAATCAGAGGAATTTTTCTACGGAGTTCAGGGGAGCTGTGCCACTTACCTGTATTGACACCCACAGCTTGATGCAGACATTAAAGCTGTGAAGAAAATCTAAAGTGAGAACTCTGTATACATCAGGAGGAAGTCTCTACAGCATGGAAGTTCCTCCAGACAGAACCTATTGTGTTCAGGCTGCAATTTTCTCTCTCACAGTACTCTGATGAACCAGAACCATCAACTAAGGTTTTCCAGCCATCGAATAAGGAAGGGTTTGGGCTGGGTCTTCAGTTGAAAAAGACCCTGGGTATGTTCACATGCCAACAACAGAAATATCTGAGCAATGATTTCTTGAAGACCCAGCAGGAGAAGAGGCACAGTTTGTTCAAGGCAAGTGGTACTATCAAAAGTTTCAAGCTAGCCTCAGCATCTTCTCACCCATCCCCAAGTCTCCCAGTTTCCCTATCATACAGGACTCCATGCTGAAAGGCAAACTCAGAGTACCAGAGCTTTAGGTTGTGTGCCTCATGAACCACTGTCTTTTGAGAAATAGGCATTTCTCAAAGAAAGACATACACATGGCCAACAGACAGATGAAATGCTCAACTTCACTTGGCATCTGGGAAATGCAAATCAAAATCACACTGAGATATCATCTCACCCTAGTTAGACTGGCTATTACCAAAAAGACAGAGAATAACAAATGCTGGTAAGGATGTGGAGAAAGGGAAACCCTCCTACACTGTTGGCAGGACTGCAAATTTGGTGCAGCCATTATGGAAAATGGTATGGAGTTTCCTCAGACAACTACCGATAGAACTGCCAAATAATCCAGCAAATCCACTACTGGGCATATACCCAAAGGAATGGAAATCATCATGTTGAAGGGATACCTGCACTCCTGTGTTTATTGCAGCTCTGCTTACAGTAGCCAAGAATTGGAACCAACCTAAATGTCCATCATCAGATGACTGGATAAGGAAAATGTGGTATATTTACACAATGGAATACTACTCTGCCATAAAAAGAATGAAATCCTGCCATTTGCAGCAACATGGATGAACCTAGAGAAAAATCATGTGAAGTGAAATACACCAGGCACAGAAAGAGAATTACTGCAAGTCCTCACTCATAAGTGCAAGCTAAAAAATAAACAAATAAATAATAAAAAAAGAAAGATGACACAATCACAACAATTCATAGAACTTTCAAAAGGAGAGAACAGAACTGAGGTTACCAGAGATGGGGAAGTGGGGTGAGGGTGGGGGGGCAGTAAGGGAGGAAGTGGTAAAGGGCCATGAAAAACGATTAGATTGTGTAATGTTGAATATACTAATTATCCTGATTTGAGCATCACATATTGCACACACTATTGATATTCAATTCCATAACCTACAGATATGTATAATCAACTATATTACAATAATAATAAAAAAGGAAATTCTGATACATGCTGCGACATAGATGAACCTGAAGATATTATGCTAAGTGAAATAAGACAGTCACAAAAGATCAAATACTATATAATTCCACTTATATGAGGTACCTACAGAAGTCAAATTCATAGAGACAAAGTAGAATGGTGATTTCCAGGGGCTGGGGGAGGGAGAAATAGAAAGTTATCGTTTAATGTGTATGAAGTTTCAGTTTTGCAAGATGAAAAAAGTTCTAGAGATAGATGGTGGAGATAGTTGCAAAACAATGTGAATATTCTTAAACAGTGTACATAAAAATGGTTAAAATTCTAAATTTTATGTTACATATTTCTTAGCACAGAAAAAAATAAAAAGGAAAAAGAGCACCCTGGATGGTGCTGCAGTATTCTAATCTTTCTTTTTCCCTTACATAGATAGCAATATACAGAGTACTTCCAATGAAAGTATGTTTATGCAACAAAAAGAACACAGATATTACTTTCTATAGGCAAAATTCCACTGCTACGACACAAATAGAAGAATGAGGAGAGGGGGGACCAGAAAACAGATAATACAAGTGCCAAATGCTAACACTTACCACAAAATCAGCTGTCTCTGAAGATGGAGTACTTGTAAACACGCCTCTGCTTTTCTTATCAGGACTACTGGAATTTGCTTTCTATAAATGTTTTATGAAATAGGGGATTGAATAGAAGAAAGAAATAAGCTACTTTAATATAGTAAAACTACAATTTAAAGTTAGTAGACTAGATCACAATGTGTAATACTAATAAAATATTTAACCATTTGCCAGGAAACTAAAGAATGTTCTGGCTTGAGCTAGGTCAGAAAACTCCCAAGAAAACTCTATGTAACATAACAACTATATGAGAATATCTTGGTTGAAATTACTATTAAATTAGGAAGAAAATCTAATTAGAGTGTTGAATTAGGAAATGGTGCTTTATTATCTTTAACTGCTAAGAAAGGTAATTTACTTTCAGCATTTGTTTAATCCCAGTATATTGCTGTACTTTTTATGAAAAGGGATATAAGTTATTTCTGAAGCTGTTTTAAAATATATACATATATATTTCATGGATAATTGGCTTAAAATACATAAGTTTAAATGTATATTCATACTTTCATTTAGAAATATCAGAGTTAATTTATAAAGTAGGATGCAGACTCATTTTCTATTTCTTCAAGATGCAAAGAGGCAGACAGAGAGACAAGTGAACAAAGGAAGAAATAGTGACAGACAAAGCTAAGAAAGAAAGAGATAATATTCAAGAGCTAAAGAGTGACAAACAGAGGGAGGACAGACAGAGAGGGAGGAAGGAGGGGAGTTGTGGGAAGGGAAGAAGGGGAAAGGGGGAGGAGAGTGAAAAGGAGGGGGCAGAGGGAGGATGGAGAGGCAAAAGACAGTAAGAGAAAACAGAGGAAAATACAGAGAAAGAGAACGGGAAGGAGAAGAAAGACAGAGAGGACAGAGACCAACTGTAAGCAAAAAGAGATTGAGAGACAGAGAGAAACAGATCAAGTCACAGACAGGGTGAAAAGAGAGAGACAGAACTTGAGACTGAAACAGACAAACCCTAGAGAACGAAGACAAAGAAACAGGGAGTGAGGCTTAGCAGAAAGAAAGAGTGAAGATAGACAAAGACAGGAAGACAGAGACAGGCAGCTTTATTTCTGGGAATCAGCTGCCTTTTTGAAGCTTGGATTCCATGAAACAACCATGTCCTTCTGAAAAATCTCTTTTTGAATGGGTGTGTATTATATAATGCCAGCTCTGGAACCCAAACTCAGAGATAAAACTTGAACATCATAGAAAAGTTTGTGTGAGGTTTCTTTTTTCTTTTCTTTCACTCTTTTCCTTCTGGTTTAAAATCTCTTAAATTAGTTTTTGGTACAAGACAAACTCTGGAATAGTTATTAGGAAAATTTTTATCAAAAATGTTTATTGGGGGCCAGCCCATGGCTCACTCAGGAGAGTGTGGTGTTGATAACACCAAGGCCACGGGTTCGGATCCCATGTAGGGATGGCCAGTTAGCTCACTGGATGAGCGTGGTGCTGACAACACCAGGTCAAGGGTTAAGATCCCCTTACTGGTTATCTTAAAAAAAAAAAAAAATGTTTATTGGTGTATTTACCAGGTACACTGAATATGTCAGTTCTCTAATTTATTAGCTAATAATCTTTTAATTTGCTCATCTGAACAATGACGATTAGTCTACCGTTAGGGACTGTTTTTCAAGGGTTACAAATACATGTAAAGAGAACCTGTAGTGTCTGCAGAGTAGGATATGATGATAGCTCAATGATAGCTATTATTATTGCCACTGTGGCAACCTTGGAGGTTCTCTGCTTAGATTTCCTTAAACAAAAACCTGCCGTTCCACAGCAAGGAGTGCAGTCAGCTGATAGTCCCAAGCTGCAACAACTTTAGAATCTGCTTCCACTCTAAAGCTGAGGCCACCATCTTCTTAGGCAACTATCAGCCAATGTTTGGGCACAGCAGTCCAACATAAGACTTTGTAATGAACAATCTTTGCTATACAACTCCTCATTGGGAGAGCTTCTATTAAATCTGCATTGAGGACTGAGGCTATCCCTGCCCAATTTTGCTTCCTTTCTCCTCTCCTATCTCAGGTATTACCTGCTCCAATAAGCCACTTGAACTCTTAAAACTATCTCAACATCTGCTTCCCAGAGGTCCAAAGTGACACAATTGTCAACTGCCAGTTCCATTTTTAAAATATCAGCTTGTATATGGTTGTAAGTATATAGCTTCCCTAGATTTCTTTCTAGATTTGTTAAGAAACTATATATTTCAAAATCTTCCCAATTAGTACATTTTCTTTTCATAGTCTTTTCAAGAATTATTAGTTAATAAAAGACTAGTGCTTACCAATGCAGGTTCCAGGGGCTGAGGCAGCAGGATGTTAGTAGCTGATCTATCTGCATTGCTTTCAAGAGCAGACCTATGGTGAGATGATGGAATCTTGATTTTTATTTTTTATTTTATTTATTTAAGATAATTTATTATACATATATGTGGGGTATAACATTGATTTTAATAATTGTGTACAATGTGTGATGGTTAGATCAGGATAGCTAGTTTATTCATCATTACAACACACAATCATTCTTTGCATCTGTTAACCAATTCCTCATTAGCCCCCCTTCCCCCTCCCCCGCCCCTCCCCTTTTCCACCTCTAGTAACCACAGTTCTTTTCTCTCTTTCTGAAAGTTCAACATACTACTGTGATTGTTGTTTCTCTCTCTCTCTCTATTGTTTATTTACTTATGGATTCAGCTCCCGGTTATCAGTGAGAACAGGCAGTATTTCTCTTTCTGTAACTGGATTGTTTCATGTATGATAATCTTCTCCAGGCTCATCCATGTTGCTGCAAATGGTAGAATTTCATTCTTTTTTATGACTGAGTAGTATTCCATTGTGTACATATACCACAATTTCCTTATCCAGTCATCCATCAGTGGACATTTAGGTTGGTTCCATCACCTGGCTATTGTAAATAGAGCTGCAATAAACATGGGAGAGCAGGTATCCCTTCGACCTGATGATTTTCAATTCTCTTGATATGTTCCCAGTAGTGGGATTGCTGGATCATATGGTAGTTTTATCTGTACTTGTTTGAAGAACCTCCATACTATTCTCCATAATGGCTGTACTAATTAGCAGTCCCACCAATAGTGCAGAAGGGTTCCTCTTTCTCCACATCCTCAGCAGCATTTGTTATTCTGTCTTTTTGATAATAGGCAGTCTGACTGTGGTGAGGTGATATCTCAAAGTGGTTTTGATTTGTATTTCCCTGATGATTAGTGATGTTGAGCATTTTTTCACCTGTTGGCCATCTGTATATGTTCCTTTGAGAAACATCTATTCAGCTCCTTTGCCCATTTTTTAATTGGATTATTTGGGTTTTTGCTGTAAAGTTGTTTGAGCTCTTTGTATATTCTGGATATAAATCCCTTGTTGGGTGCATAGTTTGTAAATATTTTCTCCCATTGTGTTGGTTGTCTTTTCATGCTGTTGTTTCCTTTGCTGTACAGAAGCTTTTTAGTTTGATATAATGCCACTTGTTTATTTTTTCTTTTGTTGTCTGTGTTTTTGGGGTGTCATTCATAAAGTCTTTGCCCAGTCCTAAATTCTAGAGTGTTTCCTGTGTTTTCTTCTAGGAGTTTTAAAGTTTCAGGCCTTATATTTAGGTCTTTAATCCATTTTGAGTTGATTTTGATATGGTGAGAGGTATGGATCAAGTTTCATTCTTCTACATACATATATCCAGTTTTCCCAGTACCATTTATTGAAGAGGCAGTCTTTTCCCCAATCAGTTGGTCATAAAGACATGGGTTGATTTCTGGTTCTCTATTCTGTTCCATTGGTCCACACATCTGTTTTTATGCCAGTACCATGCTGTTTTTGTTACTATAGATTTGTAATATAGTTTGAAGTCAGTAAGTGTAATGCTTCTGGCTTTACTTTTTTTGCTTAGGATTGCTTTGGCTATTCTGGGTGTTTTGTTGTTCCATATGAATGTTAGGATTGCTTTTTCTATATCTGTGAGAATGTCATTAGAATTTTGATGGGGATCACATTGAATCTGCAGATGGCTTTGGGTAGTATGGACATTTTTACTACATTGATTCTTCCATCCATGAACAAGGAATGTCTTTCCATCTTTTGGTGTCTTCTTTAATTTCTTTCAGTAGTGATTTGTAGTTCTCATTGTAGAGATCTTTCACCTCCTTGGTTAGATTTACTCTTAGGTATTTTACTTTTTTGATAACTATTGTAAATGGGCTTGCTTTCTTGATCTCTTTTTCTTCTAGTTTGTTGTTGGAGTACAAAAATGCTACTGATTTTTGTACACTGATTTTGTATCCTGCAATCTTACTAAACTCATTTATCAGCTCTGAGTTTTCTGGTAGAGTCTCTCAGGATTTCTGTATAGAGAATCATGTCATCTGCCAACAGGGACAATTTGATTTCATCTTTTCCTATTTAGATGCCCTTTATTTCTTTCTCGTCTAATTTCTCTGGCAAGTACTTCCAATACAATGTTAAACAGGAGTGGAGAGAGCAGGCATCCTTGTCTTGTTCATGATCTTAAGGGGAAAGCTTTCAGCTTTTCCCCATTCAGAATGATACTGGCAACGGATTTATCATATATGGCTTTTATTACATTGAGATACCTACCTTCTATACCTAATATGTTGAGAGTCTTTATCATGAAGTACTGCTGAATTTTGTCAAATGCTTTTTCTGCATCTATTGAGATGATCATAAGGTTTTCTTAACTTTATTGATGTGGTGTATCACATTATTGACTTACATATGTTGAACCATCCTTGCATTCCTGGGATGAATCCCACGTGATCATGGTGTATAATCTTTTTGATGTGTTTCTGTATTCTGTTTTCTAGTATTTTGTTGAGGATTTTAGTGTCTAAGTTCATCAAAGATATTGGCCTGTAGTTTTCTTTCATTGTTGTATCTTTGGTTTTGGTATCAGGGTGATGCTGGCTTCATAGAATGAGTTTGGGAGAATGGATTCTGATTCAATTTTGGGGGACATTTTGGAAAGAACTGGTATTAATTCCTATTTAAATGTTTGGTAGAATTTGGCAGTGAAGGAATCTGGTCCTG